TTATATTGCTTCTTAAACTGGTTTGAATTTACTCAAATGACTCATTTGCTAGTATAAGCAGGCACTATAAAAGTTGTGTGAATATTTACTTAACAAACTTCCATGATTCACCCAAAATGCAAAGCAAGTCTATATTAAATATCTTTTATTACTTCCCGTTTAGAAAAGTATTTGCTTGCTGTTTAGTGTAAAAGTTGTGTCGAAAAAATGCGCTCATTTTGGAATCTCTAAAAAAAAACACCGCTTCACTCTGCCACACCTATTTTCCCGCTGGCGCTTTTCCGAACATCGATCGAGTATTTCTGAACAGGATTTCCGTTGGTCGGCGCTTCCCCAAGAATAATCGCGTGGGTGTTCCTGCCCACAGTGGAAACTGTGGCCACAGGACACCAAGCGGAACACACACGTACACACAATGGGATGCGGAAGGAAAATGGAATGTGGAAACGGAGAGCTGGTCTGAGCTATTGAACCCTTTTTTGAAAAGCATATCGAACGGATTTGTGCTGAAATGTACTTCGGGTAAAAGCTTATGGCCGGATCAAATGTGCCTTCAATTTTATGCGCAAATGTTGTTTAATACTTGGCAAAATACACCAAGCTCAGCTAAAAGTGAAAGGTTAACTAAAAGTTAGAGTGTCTTGGGAAAATCATATCAAATTAATACATAAACTTTAAAGGGTACAAATAATTTAAACATAAAGTAAATTTTTTCTGCTTTATTGCTAACCCTTTTCACAATTGAATAAACATTTATTTCAGAATTTATTTATCAATAAAAACTTATGACACAATAAAAACAATTATATCAAGTTCGATTATTGAATTAATTAATTCTTCAAAAATATATTTATATATATATTAAATTTTCACTTCATTCAATAACTTCTGTACCCTCACAAAATTGAAAACCACTTCCGAGGGTAACCGTACAAATGCAGAAATATCAAAAAGTGACAGGCTCTTGAGCTCATCAAATCGATGTTCCACTTCATTTCCGTTCCCTTTGGGAGATGAAGCCCTTAACCTTCCTGGGATTAAATCGAAGAATCCTTTTGAGCCTCACTGGCTTTGGCTCACATCGTTCCGCCGAATTGGCTTAGCCGCCTTTAGTTGGTTGGCAACTTTTTCGGCCATTGTCGCGCCATTGCTCACCTGTTCATAAATATGCCCATCGATGAGGACTACAAAATGTTGACACCATCGCGCAGAGATGATCCCAATTAGGGATGGCAAAAGGTGGCGATACATCCATATATCAGAAAAAAGTTTAAATCATTTGCACTTCGTGCTGTTTATAATAAGAATATTTAATTTATATACTTGGTTGTTAGTTTTTCAAATTAATTCCTAACATTAAAATTTATTTACATTGCTATCTAACGATATATATGAATTTTCTCCTCAAAGCACACACCCCTAACCTTTTACAATGACTAAAAGAAAAATGTTTTGTAAATTCTAGCTGCAGCTCAGCGAAAAGTATGCAAAGTGAGAGTCTAGGCTGAAAACTTTTTGGCCAGCATTTGTGGTTATTTGTGGTTATGGCCACCGCAGCGACACCCCCCCAATGGAAGCAGCTACAACAACAAGAAACAGCACCATCAGCAACACTGGCGGCAACAACAACAAAATCAATATTTGCCTTGTAAGCCGCACGTGTATGTGTACTTGCTGTTGCCGCTGCACAAACTTTTACCGGCCACCAGGAGCTGAGGTTGCCGCTCTTGGCAGGAGGCAGTTGGGAGGGTTTTGACGGCAACTGGGGGAGGGCAAAGGGTGTTACCAACATGAGGTGGAGCAACAGCTAGCAACATGTTTGCCGGCCTTGTCAGCGTCAGCAGCAACCAAAAGGCAGGACCAACGGTGGGATAAAGGTAGTTATAAGAGAGAGTTTAAATAAACAAATAAAAATCTTAAATAATAAAAAAAATTGTATTATATTTTAGGGTAGAAAACCCTAATTCTTTATTCATTATTATGAATTATTTAAAATTATAATTTAATATTTAAAATATTCATAATATGATAGAACACCGAAGTTTAAATGGAAATCCTCCCCCATAAAAGCTTTAGGATTCCCCTTCAACTTTTTTGTAGATTTGCCCCACTGTTCCCCTGGTTGATGGGCTTATGCGGTCTGGCTCCGAGTGGAGGTTCCTCCACACACTGGAAAACGGGAAAGTGTTTGGTTAGGCTGCCCGAGATGACTTGTTGGGGCCATGTAAATTGACTCGTCGCAGTTCCAAAAGAAGAGCTAGTTTCGGGATGAATGATATCAGAGTTGGGAACCGAAACCCCAGAACGGAGAAGGGAGAACGAAGCTCCCCACCTGGTCGATGGGGTGTATGTGATAACACATCGGCGGGACACACCGGACACGCCAGATAAGCAACGGAATATTTATAGCGCTGCGGCGTCGCATAAAGTCCTACCCGAAGTTGAGGCTCCTTCGACTTCCATATCTAATCAAGTCGAGCAAATAGAACATAAGAACCCGAAGCTATTACTGGGAAGGGTTCCGCCCAACGTGCAGCACATGGTATCTGAATTATTTAATAACAAACCCCGTCTCCACCAATACCTAAAGCTATATGAACATCAGACAGCTCAAGTGGGTTCCCAGCATTTCGTAGGGGTTTCTACGTAAGTATTTTAAGCGTTCGCCTCCCTGGAATGATTCACGCGAATTTCATTTTGAGCAGATCAAACAGTAATATAATTTTTTGCGGTCTCTTCTTCGCAAAAAAAAAAAATTAGATAATAAAAAATTAGCAAAAGGAAAACCACAGAATTTTAAGCCGAGGCGACACTTGCTGTGCGCTTTTTATACTTTTGGAGGGTATTATAATTTCTGAATTTTAAACCAAAAATCAGACATACGAATCACACCCTTTAAATTCCCACCGCCTTTAAACAAGGAACAACCAATAAAACACCGGAAACGGAAACAATTTGGCATCGATTGCTGCTGTCAATCAGCGCAAAGAGTGAAGCAATTAAAAATATCTCCCGCACCAATTTATACCATTTTTTTTCACCATTTGCTAGATTTAATTTGGAATGTGACAGCAGTCGCAGAGGTGAGAGGGTCGAGAGAGGTGGAGGAGGATAGCGATGTGCATTTAAGCGATTTTAAGTGCAAATAAACAAGGCTCATAAAGCGCAAGGTAAACAATTTCTAGTGCGACTATGTGGCAGTATGGGGCAAAAGAACATAAGGGGGGATGTATATATAAAGGGAGGAATGGTGGCACCCAACCGTGGATAGATAAAGGAAAGGAAATGGCGCCCATATCCTTGTGCAAACACACACGTGCTCTTGACAGCGCTTTCTGCGCATTTTGCAATGAGCAGCGAACAGCAAAGGGGTTTGGGGTTTTGGAGTACAAGGGGAACTGTGCCCAAGGATGTTTGTCCCTGGACAGCTGAGAGACAACCCCCATCCGCCCACGCACTGAAGGGAAAAATATCATTGAAAAACAATAAAAAACACATGTTGTTCCCGAAAAAAAAACTTAAAAATACATTTGAAAAAAAATCAACAATATATCTTAAGCCAGATAAATAAACTTAAATATTTCCAGTTTTATTTAAAAATATAAGAATGCTTTGATAAATTTTTTAAAACAATTTTAAATTAAATTATAATTAACAATTATACATTTTTTAGCACTACTTCCCAAGCCAAAAATATACATATTATGGTTCTTAAGTGCAAATATACGTTTTCAACATTCTGAGTTTATTATCGATTTCAAAACCATTTCTTCCAGTGTTCTCCCAGTGATAAGCGACATCAACAGAAGAGAACAAAGCGCGGCGAGAAGGCGGCGCAGAGACAACTGTCGACTGAGATAAGGACTGGGATTCCTTCCCAAAGACCGAAGACCGGAGGTGGAAGCCCCGACATTTGCTAATTGCCGGTCAAATAGAAGAGCGAAGCTACCAAGGATCCGGAGAATCTGAGGGATCAGAGAGATCAGGCCGTCTTTCTCACGACTCTGGACCAGAGGCTGAGGCGCGCACTGCGGACCCCAATGCGACTGTCAAGTGTCAACGGCAGTCGTCGGCTCCCGCGGTTCGCTTGGGTGAAGATCGACTGCGGTTAGGAGACCCCTCCAGGTCTCCAACTCCCCCACCTTGTTAGCAGTTAGCGTCTTTACGCTAAAAACATATTTATTCGCTTTTTATGCCTGAATTGATTTGTCGTCGTCGTCTTCATCTCGAGCATTTTGTTTCCTCTGCGCCACACATTTATTGAGGCCTGTATTTCGTACATGTATATTTTGTTGTATCTTTGTATCTTTGCATCTGGCGTCTTGTTATTGCCATTTCCTATTATTCCTGCCTTTGGCCAATTTGTTGCTCCCACCAACACACAAAGCCACACAGCCAGTGGTTTGTGTGCTGTCTAATATGTGTGAATGTGTAAATTCATTTATATTTACATATGCCGACAGATTCCCAATCGTTTCGTTCGTACTACGGCCATTAGACCCCCTTTCTCTAGATGTTCTCTCTTTTTTCCCTTTTGCGGTTCGCCGAGTTTGTTTATCCAGTTAAATAAAAGAAGAAAACCCACGTATATATGCATATACCATATACATATATGACTGGAAATTGTGTTAATCAGCAAACTCATCGAAGACGAAGCCGGGCAGGTTTAGTCATTCATGGGTTCTTCTCTCGGTTATGGTTCCATTAAGATCTCAATTTGCGCTACTAGGGTTAGCAAAAGGACTCGGGACATATTTGGTTTCCTTGGCAAACGTTTAATTATGTATATTAACTTGGCAGGATTTGCACATTTATGATTTAGACTAATTAGAATAAATTTTGAACGGCTTATCCCGTTAAGAAATACAAATTTATAAATATCTGTAATAATTATGTATCTTCTCCCAAATCGAATTAAATTTTATTCTTATCACATTATCATTAATAACTTCTCTTACTCAGAATTCTTAAAGCCCCAACTTAGTAATTTTCAAACTTACTTGGCTGACGCCTGAACTAGATTCCAGTCGTATCCTTCAAGGACCTTCATCACTGCACTTGTAATGCGTTCATCCTCCTTTCTGCCACCCTGACCCTGGGCCTTCTTCTGTTCGGCTTTCAAGGCATAGTTGGCCAGCACTAGGGTCTCCACCGGCTTGGCCCGTTCCTTGGAGCAATTCGTATTGGAACTTCCGCTCATTTTGGCCACTACACTACAACAATCTCTGTCCGAATTGTGTTTAGTTCGAGCACTTCACAAAGCTACCGGCTTGCAAAACCGCGATCGCTAAGTCCGAGATCTTGGAAATTAAAGTCGAGTTTATCTGGATCAATACGGATAAGATCGAGACGCGACGTGGTTGACGGACAAACTGCGACTGATCTTGGGGATCGTTGTTGCTCGGGCCGAGCAGCTGTGGGCTCGCCCCCAAGACGAGCTCGGCATTCGTCGGTTCGCCGGACGATCGTGGCGATAAGCTAAAGACGGTGGTTGGCTGGCTCGTTAGTCGGGTCGCTATATAGAGATATATGCCGTGTGGAATGGGGGACTAAGGAGCTTAAGGCGGGGGAGCTGACGATACGCGGCGAGGGGCGAACATAAAAATCGCGGTACGCGTGTAAACATTAACATGTTCATGTGAAATTAGGTGGCCCCAGAGCGGAATCGAATATCGGACGAGCGGTGACGCCTGTCCGCGACAAACAAGTATGGGATAGTACCAGGATATTCGACTAATAGATACTTATTTTTGAGATAAATATATTCGGAAATTCTTGTTAATTAATCCTGATTAAAATCACTTATAATAGAAACTGATGTCTTTATCTTTTGTGAAATTTTTGATAATAAAGTACATAATTTTATGTATAATTTTTAAAGGCATAATAATTTTATTTTTTAATCAAAGATATAATAATCATACAATTTTAAAATATTTTTCTTTGTTTATTTTTACAAAATAAATACCCAAAAATAACAATATCCAGGGTATCAAAAAGAGAGCGCTTCGGAAAATGGACAGAGCTGAGGGACATAAATCGAAATGGAAACAGAAACAGAAATTAGTAACACTTTACAGCCACATGTGGATTTATGACACCTTCCCCGACTTTGCTTCGGGCCAAGGGGTAGACTCTCTCGGGATCGTTAGAGACCTGCCACCACTTGTTGCAGCTGTATTTGGGAAAGGATTCTCAATGATCCTCAATGAGACTGCTAATGAGAAGTCGATAAGATCATTAAGGATTTAAGGGTTACAAGACTTGAATGGGGAGTGACAGTGACGTCTTTGGGGTTGGGAATATGACAGATTGGGTTCCCAAGGGTGGCAGACGCGTTGGGAATTTGTTTACCTTATTTTTTATGTAAATATCTACAGATAAAAATTATGTATTTAAAGCAAATATCCATTTCAGATTCTTTTAAGATAATTAAGTCTCTCTGATTAAATTAACACATAATTATTTAATGTTAGCAGTTAACAAATAATTTAATTACACATTGGTTTCGCCAATCAAGTTGTAAAATTTATGTTATATATCTTTGTATAATATATTATTTAAATTAAAGGTGATGATTGGTGCTAAGAGTAAGAGAGAGAATGATTGATTTGGAGATACTATACGATTTTAGGCCTATTAACTATTTTATTTTTTATTTCTATCTTGTTTCTTAATACTAAAAAATGATTTATTTAGACAAAAAATACCCTGTTTCCTTTATATAAATTCATAAAAAATATAACGCTTCGAGTTCAATATACTTTCATCTTTATAACCTGAAGAAATGTAATTTATACGCATATTTAATGATGGATCGGTTAACAAAATCAGCTAGAAGTCAGAAGATCAGGTGATCCGGTAAGATCTTTTCATAACCACTTTGCACTAGTTTCTTACCCATCGCGGCCCGACTCGCTCCAAAATCGTAAAATCCCGAAGAAAATCCAAAATATAAAAAAAGAAATGAAACCAGAAGAAGTAGGCAACGGCAAAGAGCTATTTATTTCACGATCGTAAAACACCGAAGAATCGTATGTAGTTTTGGTTACGCTTTTGTTTTCCAGCTGGTTTCAACTGGAAGTTATGGTAAGGAAACCAAATCTGTATCTGCATCCATAGCATAACTTTTACCCAGCGAATACTTATTTTTTCTTCATTTTATTTCGGTCGCGGGGGGATTTTTACAACTTTATAATTTTTACAACTCAATTAACTTTTTTTTCAAACGCCGCCGCTCTGGCAACGAAGATCGAACAAATCGAAGTAACAAAAATTAAACAATAAAACAGAGAAATGCATAAACGGAATCATAAATACCTAGTCCATTTCAGATATTTTTATGCGAATGGGGGAGATGAGGACCGACTCAAAACTGACGTCAAAGCAGCGCCCGTTTTTTGGAAGTGTCATAAAAGGCATCAAAATGAAAATTATATGATACTCCATAAAAAAAGGAAAATACTCGGCCCAGCATCAAAGCCCTTCAGTGATGCCTATAATATGTATATGTTTTAAAGAAAACATTTTAAAAAGGAATAAAAGGTTTGAAAAATACAACAAAAAATATATATGAAAATATATTAGCGACCCAAATGTTCCTTCTATGGATTACATTTTGTAAACTTTTTAGTTTAGATTTCTTGTTTTATTTAAATTAATATTCTTATATAAAATTATAAAAATATGCATTATCTTAAAATAATTTAACAAACAGCGAAGGAAATAAAATGACGACTTGGCATAAAAGCCATATAAAGAATATTATAGCTTATCTTATAGCTATTTACTAAATTATATTTTACAATATTAATTTATTAACTAGAATACATTAAAAATACAAAAAAAAACCTTTACAGAATTACAATTTACAACTGTTAACAAACTTATAAACGAGAACAATGTGACCATGCGTTTCCGGTTGGAAAAAGTGTTACCATAAGTCTAAAAAAATCAAGTCAAACTGACTGCACTGTTGTGCTATCCCAGTGGACCTTAGTTCGCTGAACTGCAGCAACTGGAAAATTGATTCGCGTCTAGGAAATTTAATGAGCCAGCATCTAACAATTCCCCCGCTACTCTGAACATTTTTCCCCAACCGGCGGACTTCAAAGCGTGGCAACTTGTTGATAAACAAAATGTTCGGAGCGCAAAAAAAAAGTGCTAAAAATATTTTGAATTAATTAAAAATATATATACGCTATGCAGCCAGAGGCAAATTAATATATTTCCTTGGCATTTTTTCGCTGGTTTCATAATCAAACTGGAGCACAGAAAGGTCGAAATGCATCCGAAAGATACGCGAAAAGGGAAAGGAGCCGGGGCGGCGGATGCGACGATCGCTTGACAATTTGCGACTTGGCATGAAATCGCATTATTTGATCTAAGCCGCCGACAGCTATAGCTGGAATATATAACGAAACCAAATGGTAGACGGCCGCCGTTAGAAGAAACAGAAATTGAGCAGGGGTGGGGTGGCTGATGAGGGGGCGTGGCAGGCGGAAGATGGGAAAGATGAGGAAGGAAGCGAAGCCTCCAGCCGTGCGACATGTGCTGCGGAAATATTTTGTAAACAATAAAAGCCACGACGACGGGCACTCAGGAAATATGCAAAAAAATACAAGAGCACTGCGAAAAAAGGTTGCTTTTTAAATATTTTAAGTGTACAAGCGTACAGTAGTATAATTTTGTAATTTAATATAAATGTTTATTAAACCTTATAAATTTCTTTCTCATATTTCTTAATTTTAATTATTACCTTTTAGTTTCCTTAAATGATATAAGTAAATTTATAAATAAAGCTTACTACACTTACTTTTCTTTAATAAAATCTAAAACAAGTTAAAATTAAAGCTTTTCAGTTAATAAGATCACTATTTTTGGCACAGTGCACATTGCCTTATTGTCATCTCGCTCTGGCTGAGATCATTTGCATACACGCGCCTCAACACCCACACTGTCTCTCTCTCTCAGCAATAATCTTTGTTATTGTTTCTCACCTCTTCGCTCTTTTACCGTTTTTAATCGTCTCACTGACCATCGGCCAACCTTGTTTTCCATTCGCCAGCGATCATCACCTGCCCATGTGTATGTGGGCAAGAGAGCGTAATTGTGTGTATGTGTGAGAGCGGTCATGCCAGTTTTTGTTTTTGTGTTTTTATCGTCAATTGCTACGTTGAGTGGCTTTGTTTTCTCATTTTTTTCCAGCCAATGGGAAATAAAAGGCGGGATTTCAAATAGATTATAAAATGTCCAACAATGCCAAAGATATTTTAATAGCTTTAAACACTAATTTAGCTAAGGAACTAAAATTAATAATAAATACTATTAAATATAAGTGAATTTTGGCTGATTTGTTTTTTAAGCTTAACCTTCTTCATATACTTTTCATTTGGGCCATTCAAAGCTCTAAATATCTTTATAAATTTTATTTTTATGCATGTTTTATTACCCAATTATCATGATTTATTTGTAGGATATTATTTTTAAAATATTCTATAGTTTACCCTGCACTCCGACAACGAAGCCGAAGACGGACTGCTTATCAATTTTGAGTGATTGCTTATCTACCCCAATTCGAAGCTCGAAATAAAACACACCTTGACACACTCACACTTGCTCACTCTCCCGTTAGTATTTCCCATATGCATATCTACCGTTACCCGTGGCTTCTTTTTTTCATATCAACCTTCCTCGGGTTTTATATTCGGAAAATGTGGGGTGGTGGAAAAAGGGGTACATGTACAAAGAGGGGGGCTAATGGAATTCACACGTGCTTTGCTTTATTGGAAATCGCAGCAATAAAAAATGTAAGCGTTTCTGTTACCAGTCAGTCAGGTATTTCGTTACCTAAAAGTAACGTTGATATCGAAATTGGCATCCCCTGAAAGAAACGCAACAAAATATGACACAACAATAAGAGGTGTCCTTTTTAAATTAATTTCAGTTTAGCTCAAATATTGGACAACCAAAAATTAATATTTGTGTTACTTTGAATACACTTGAAGATTAATTTATTAAATATTTTAGAAATTCAATAGAGTCTTCCAAACTTGAGGTTAAGCCAAAAATAATGAATAACTTTAAGTCAAGACCTTAATTAATCAACTATTCTAAACAAAGCAAATGTTTGTTAGTAGTATTTACTTAATATTATACTCTATTGACATACTTAGCCACCAAAATATTTCCTAAAAAATAATGCTCTAAGTTTTGATGTATTAAATTTATTGTCGACGAGAATGACCATAGACACTAAAAGCGAAAATCTATTCCATCAGGTTAATTACAAAAAAAAAAATAATAATAACAAAAACATCTATTAAATATAATTTTACTTTTTGAATTTAACGGCAACGTGA